TCCAAAGAGATTCCCTCCATGAGCCATTACAGACCTTAAGGTGGGGTCGGAAGAGACTTATCTGATAACTTTTTTAGATAAAGGGTTGCAAGTAAAGTTGTTATAAAACATAATATATAAAATTTCTCTTTAAAGTCACATTTTTGTTTTCGGTGCCTGGGTTAAAATCACGACAGCTCTTTGGTCTGTGACAGCTTTAAGCCCCGGGGATACCAGTTTTAGTTAATACTGTGATGGAACACACAGCTCAAGTGCTACAGCGCAGAGACAATTCCTGGGGTGGAGGCAAAGTCCAGTTGGTCGGTGTCCGTCCCCCACAAAGCCACACAAATAGGAAAGAAAGGCATTTTAGTCTGGGAAAAGTTGTGCAGAAAGGACACCATAGGAGGCCTCAGGCTGCTGCCTTTATCAAGCCTTATTCAGGAGGTTCGTCTCGGCTGGCGTCTGGGAGCTTGGCACATACACACTCCCTGACTCATAAAACTGGTTCGCTTGGCCTAGGCTGTGCAGACATTGCTGTTCTCGCCTTCTTGGAGTTTGCGACTTTGATCGTTGCTGGGTGGAGGGGACCTACGTGACCAGACACTGTTAAAAGCCTTGGGTGCAGAGTCTCTTCCCAAGGCAGACACAGTGTACAGACTTCAGTGAATTTTTCACTCCTGGAGAGAGGAACACACTCACGTGTCTCCTCGCTGGTGGGAGGGGGCGTCACAAACCTCCAGACTCTGCCAGTGTCTTTTTCTCCAGTTGACCCTGTCACGTAACCTTGCACTGTATAACCCTTAACCAGAGTGCAACTCTTTGCTGAGTCCCAGAAGTTCCTCTGGTGATCCCTGAGTGTGCGTGTGGTCTTGGGATCCCCAAAACATACATGCTAGCCAGCACCAGGGCTCCTCAGGTGTGTCTGGTGACAGGAAGTTTGACTCAAGGCCTCGAATGTGTGCTGAGGATGCAGAAACACAGGGTGCTGGAATGAACCCCTTTCTGAGCTGGGGCCTTTGTCCCAGTCTTGAGTGGGTTTCCTCCCGCGTTGTCTGTCCTGATCCACGTAGAGGACTCATTTGCCTGGATACAGAGCCTATAACACAAAAGACTAAGCAGGATGCTTTGCTGCCACCCCCAAGGGAATGGAAGGGGAAAAGCCAGCATTTGTCACACTGCCTAGATAGCAGATCAGAGCGGTCCAGGCCCCCACCTTGGCCTTTCTCAGGGTGAGGAGACTCACAGGCTGTCCTTGTTCTCCAGCCTCATGGACAGAAGAGACAAGAGGCTCGGCTTTACTCTCCCATTCCCTCAAAAGCTCTCTACCAGCACTCTGGCTAAAAAAAATACCCTAGCTTTTGACTCTCCTAGAAAGGAACCGTCGATTTTTTTGTATGTGGTATGGTGGGGGCGGATGGTGCACAGGGCTGCCAGTGAAGAGTACCCTCATGCTCTCTCTACAGACCCACATTCCCTCATATTTTCTCCTGCCTTCAGTTAACTCGGTGTGCATAATAACCAATATCAAGGTCACCTTGAGTGCTGTGGGCCCCTCAGGAGAGATCTTCTTCCCCAACCCCTGCTTTTTGTCTGAAACATCCATCAAGGGTATGTAAAGATAAACTGAGGCCTATTAATTTTTTTAAGAATTTATATGAGCAAAAACTGATTTGAATCCTACAGCATGGAGCCTAGCAGATAGAAAGGAGCTCCAAGGAGCTGTATAAGATGAGAGACTTTTATAGGTAGAAGGGAGCAGGAACAAGGAAGTTCTATGAGACAAAATAGGTTATTGCAAGGTTATTTTTCTTTGGGGGATGGCGGGAGTCTATTAGGCATATTGGCTAACTGATCTGATCTAACTGATCAGATCAGCTAACTGATTGGCTAAATCGCTGATCTGGCAATTTCTGAATGACCTGTTTGATATGATTCCTTTTCTGGGAATGCTGAAACTGTAAGTATATCTCATTTTACTGATGTGGGACTTAGCATAAGGACTCCACTTGGGGCCTATTGTCTTGTTTTTAACAGGGATTATCTGAGGATATTATTACTAGCCCTTAGATCTTGCCCCTAGAAATTTCTGGTGTATAAAGACGGGATAATTAAATTTTATCTGAAGGCCACAGTAGAAACCACGACTTTGATCTCCTGTTTTATTTACCATGTTCAGACAAATTAATTACAGTTACAGGATATGTCCTATGGAACAGCATAATCCAAATGATACAGAGCCAGCCATAGAAAATTTACACACTTATAAGTACTGTTTTAGGTATAGCCTACAAATTTTGATATATGCGGTTTTGTTATTGGTAGGTTCTAGATGTTTTATAATTTTTGTGATCATTTCTTCTGTGACCCAAGTTATTTCAAGGAATTTTTATTTCTAAACATTTCAGTCTTGTCTAATCTTTTTTTTTTAATATGGAACTTAAATTTCATTGTGATTAGAGAAAATGATCTATATCTTCCAGTCCTTTAAAAAGTTAAGACTTGCTTTATGGCTCAGTATATGGTCCTTTTTTGTAAATGTTCTGTGAGATTTTTATTTTTAATTTTCTTAAATGTTTATTTTTGAGAGAGAGAGATAGAGCATGTGAGAGTGGGGGTATGCAGAGAGAGGGGGGAACAGAGGATCCAAAGCAAGCTCTGAACTGACAGCAGCGAGCACAATGCAGGGCTCGAACCCACAAACTGTGAGATCATTACCTGAGCCAAAGTCGGTCGCTTAACTGACTGAGCCACCCAGGTGCCCCATAAATGTTCTTGTGAGATTTTAATTTAATTTAATTTAATTTAATTTAATTTAATTTATTTTATTTTATATTATATTTTCTTTTCTTTATTTATTGTTTTAAGTTTATTTATTTATTTTGAGAGAGACAGAGACAGCACCAGTGGAGAAGGGGCAGAGAGAGAGGGAGAGAGAGAGAATCCCAAGCAGGCTCTGTGCTGCCTGTGCAGAGCCTGATGTGGGGCTCAAACTCATGAAACCACGAGATCATGACCTGAACCAAAACCAAGAGTTGGATGCTTAACTGACTGCTTTTTGCTTGAGTTCTATTTTGTTTAATATTAACATTTATTTATTCCAGCTTGCTTTTGTTAGTGTTCCATCGATATTTCCCCAACTTTTTTACTTTGAACTTTTCTGCATCCTCATGAGTCTTAAATAACTTATATAACTGGTTTTTTTAATTTTGTTATTATTTTTTAATGTTTTTTTTTAGAGAGAGACAGAGACAGAGACAGAGTGTGAGTGGGGGAGGGGCAGAGAGAGAGGGAGACACAGAATCTGAATCAGACTCCAGGCTTCTGAGCTGTCAGCACAGAGCCCGTCGCGGGGCTCGAACTCACGGACCATGAGATCGTGACCTGAGCTGAAGTCGGACGCTCAGCCGACTGAGCCACCCAGGCGCCCCTGGATTTTTTAAGAAATGACTCCTGATGACACCAAAAGCAGGAACAATAACAATTTTTTTTATTTTCTATATTTTTTTAGTAAAATTTTTTAAAATGATAAAATGGAGTTGATCAAAATTTAAAACTTTTTCTCTTTATTTTTTTTTTTTTAATTTTTTTTTTCAACGTTTATTTATTTTTGGGACAGAGAGAGACAGAGCATGAACGGGGGAGGGGCAGAGAGAGAGGGAGACACAGAATCGGAAACAGGCTCCAGGCTCTGAGCCATCAGCCCAGAGCCTGACGCGGGGCTCAAACTCCCGGACCGCGAGATCGTGACCTGGCTGAAGTCGGACGCTTAACCGACTGCGCCACCCAGGCGCCCCAAAACTTTTTCTCTTTAAAAGAGACCATTAAAAACATGAAAAGACAAACCACAGACTGGGAGAAAATATTTGTAAAACCTATATCTATAAAGAACTTATACTCAGGATATATAAAGAATTCCTACAATTGAATGATAAGAAGACAACTTAATTAAAATAATTGTCAAAAATAGGCAAGAGTTAGTCATTTGGAAAATGCAAACTAAGGCCACAACATACCATTATGTACTCACTACACAGGAGAAAATAAAAAAGACTGACAATTCCAAGAGTTGGTGAGGATTTGGAGAAACTGGAACCCACACACATTACTGATGGAAATGTAATGTGATAGAGCTGCTTTGAAGAACAGTTTTTTCTAAAGTTAAACATGGACTTCCTAAATGACCCAGCATTCCCACTCGCAAGTATCTACCTAACAGGAATGGAAAGATATGTCCACACCAAGACATGCATGTGAACATTCATAGAAACATTATTCGTAGTAGACCCAAACTGGAAACAATATGCTGTCCATCAACTCCTGGATGGGTAAATAAATGTAGTATATCCATACAACAGAATGCTACTCAGCAGTGAAAGAGAATAAAGTATCGATACATATATGGAAAAATCTAAAACCATTATGCTAAGTGAAAGACACTGGACACATAAGACCACATATTGTATGATTCCATTTATATGAAATGTCTGAAGGAGACACAACCATAGAGATAGAAAATGGATCATTGGTTGCTAAGGCTGGAGGTGGGAATAGGGATTGATTGCAAACCAGCATGAGGGTTTTATTTGTTTCTCTGTTTTTGGCATGATAGAAGTACTCCCGGGGCTCCTGGCTCACTTAGTCGGTAGAGCACGTGACTCTTGATCTCAGAGTTATGGGTTTTATTACCTAAGATTACTTAAAAATAAAATTTTAAAACATAAAAATAAAATCTTTAAAAAAAATGAAGAGAAGTTCTCCAAAACTGGATGGTGATGATGTTTGTACAACTCTATAAATTTACTAAAACTCATTGAATTGGACAAAAGATAGATGAGTTAATGGTTTGTAAATTAGATGCTAATAAACTTGTTAAAGATTGTTTTTTATGTATACATAGTCTCTGTATTTTTTTAACTGAACTATTTAGTCCATTTATTCTTCTTGTAATTACAGATATATTTGGATTTTTTCCTATCATTTTATATTCTATATGTTCTACCTTTCTTATATTTCTTTTCCTCCTCCTTTCTTGCCTTCCTTTGGTTTATTTTCTTTTTCCTAATTCCATATTTCTCTCTCTGTTAACCTGGAAGTGGTATATTCTACTGTTGTCTTATAATGGTTACCCTGGAAATGTCAACATGCATACTTACAAATCAAAGTCTACAGTTAATAGCTTTGCCCTTTTCTTGAATGACATAAGGAATTTAGAGCACATTAATTATAGTAACTCCCTGCTTATGTGTATTGCTAAAGTTGCAATTTTTAACCCCATAAGACATTTTTATTATTTTACAAAGTCAATAGTTATTTAATTACCCACATATTTTTTGCTGTCGTTCTTTATTACATGTCAAACTCTTCATCCATATTTTTCTCAAAAATTTTTTTGTAACAAAACGCAGTATATTGTAGTGGTTAGCAGCATGGCTTCCAGAGCCAAACTGTTTTACTTTTTATACCGCTTTTTATTTCTGCTTTAAACTGAGGCAGAGGGCTACCCAGTAACATGCTTAGGGTCACATCTAGTAAGTTGTAGGGGCAGGATTTGTACCCACTAATTCCTTATATTTAAACTAATAGCACCCCCTCTACTGTGGGGGGCTTGTAAAAAACCATGGTCCAAGAAACATGTTGGTGGCACAATAGGCCAGAGCCCTTGTCGACTGTCAGCAAACTTACATGTAGGTTCAAATTCCTCCCACATCTTAAGGTTCATGAAGTTCATAAAGAACTCTTCTGTAAAGATTAACCTTACAAGCAAATCAGAGGTGACTTGAATTTCAGCCTTATGAATACTTATAAAATCAATTTCTCTGTGTTTCTTGCATATTTATTATTTTTCTTCAGGTAATTGGAACTGTCTTGCAGAATTTATAGGAAAAGACTCCTTCCATAAAAATCCAATTCTGTTTCTGGACTCTCTCCACCTTGCTTCACTTGTTCCTGGGCAGAGCGATAGTAAACCCTTGCTGTATAAAGCAGATCACTGATTTTTCCCCAATATAAAGTCACTTAGATGTTGGTAAGCCTCAGGAGAAACTGTCTGATGAAATTGTTGGATGCTAGATAGATTTTGAAACCATCTCCGGTGAAGACGGTCCTTTCAGAAGAGTGGTTAGGACAGAACAGTCTTCTAGGTCTTCTAGGTTCTCTACCATCTCTGTAAGTCTATCTACTGTATCACAGGACAGCACGCTGGAAGCATTGGCTCTGAACTTCTCCCGTAGGTCCTCCTGGCTCAATGGCTTCCTCCAATGGCCATAGAAGGTATCAGAGCGCTCTGTGAAGGTGGCTCCATCATCGAGAGTGACACTTATCTCACAGTATAGTGTGTTGAAGCTTGGCAGGTTGTCTTGAGGGTGCTCCAGCTCCACCTTACTGAGCAACTCCCTCACCTGTGGCCTGTTGATCTGGCATTTGTGGAATGATGGGACAGTGATGCCGCCATCAAGCAGTGTGGCACAGGCCACAAACTGGAAGGAATGACGAGCCTCATGCTCTGAGTCTGGGAAGGGCCTGTTTACATACTGGACATCTGGAATTCTGAGCACAATTCTTGCAATGCGGTCAATGGGAAGCAGGGCTCTGTCTGTTACAAGGTGCTTTCTCACAGATGCAGCTGCGTCTGCCACCCAGTGGGTGGCCAGATGTGCAGGGAACCGCTTGAAGGCCACATCCTGCTGGTCCAGCAGCCAAGTGTGGGAATCTAGGTTTGGAAGAACTTTTGGGGAATAGTTGGCATAGAAGGCCCCAAACCCTGTCTGCATGTCCAAGATTTGTCTGTTTCCTTGGAGACCCAGCATTGCCAGAAAAGCGGCTTCCATCCCATGCCTGGCAGCATTGCCGATATGAAGAGGCTTGGTCTGAGTGGCAGCGTTTGCTATGGGTGCCCCGGCATGAGAAACAGCAATAGCCAGGGCCTCTCGGCACTTTGTCATGCTGAGCCCCAAAAACTTGGATGTAGCAGCAGCACTACCCAAGGTTCCTACCACTGAGGGGGGATGGAATCTGGAAAGCAAAAAAGCAAAGAGTTGGAGATTTACAGACCTCAGTCAGTAGGAGGCAGTATGGTATGATAGTTGGGAATGTAGACAATGGAGCCCTGCTGCCTGGGTTCAAATCTCAGCTCTACTACGTACGGGCTGTGTGATCTTGGGAAAGTTATTCAACTTGTCTGTACCTGTTTCCTCTTACATAACATGGTGACAATAATATGTGTCTCATAGGGTTTTGTGAGTTTTGAATGAATTCACATGCTTCCATCAGTGCCTGACACAATAGATTCTTTATAGTTATTGCCAGAAAGGCAAAAGTTGCTGCTTGCTGAAATCCCATGTAAGTAGCTAGAAAAATGGAGGGCCTTGCAGAAATTGAAAGTTCGCCCGGTATTCCAATCTACTCCTCTGCTAGCAGGCTGGATCAAGTGGAAAAATAAATATAAGATTGAATCACATGATATAGCCAGCATGTGACTATTTTTGCTCTGTGGGTTGAACAGTCAGGTTCAGGATCTTCTGAATGTTCTCAATCTGAAGGACCTCAGCAAATATCAAAGTAGATTCTGCTCTGAGATGAGACTAGGAATATTCAGAGTACCTTGGGTGCCAAAATGACGTGAATCGCCCTAGGATGAGAGGCGCCAATTTATTTTATGGTTGTGGTTAGTTGATTCTCTAAACCCAAATGGGATTTTTCATTATTTCTTCTGGGGTCATACCTTAGTATATGGATATATGGTTTGCTGTGTGGCTGGAGAATTGACTTAGCTCTCAGCACTAATGTTAATATCTCCAGCTGATCTAACTCACCTCTATGTCAGAAAGCTCTACAGAGAGAACAGTGGACAAGTCAAGGGGGAATGCATCCACCTCTGGATGGGGCAGATTCTCTCCCTACCTCTTTGGTATGTCATTGGCTTCCTTGGAGAAACGCAGTAATTGGCCTTGCACTTCAATCCCAACATTGAAAGCTAAGAGCAGATCAAGGCCAGAACACTTTGGACTTGGAGGCAGAGCTTCTGATAAAGCCAGCAGGACAGGAAGGACTGCTCCAGAAGGGTGGGTGGCAGGATGCCATGTATCATCAAAATCCATTGAGTGAATCTATGTAAACATACACACACAAACAACAACCAAAAACCAAATTAGATTTACCTGAATGCAATGGCTTTTGGACCAGTAAGGGTTTAATTTAGTAATAACTCTATTTGATATGAGATTTTTAGCTCTGATTATCTGAAAATAAAACCTGTAAACCGGCTGTAATTCTTAATCATATGGCGGGGTACTGGATGTGCTGTCCTCTGCTTAGAGCAGGCAGGACTTTAGGGAGCAGCTAGAGAGCCCCAGTGAGCTTGGCTCTTACCCAGGTAACCAGAGCTCTCTGCCACAGCACCCGGAAAGAGTGCTTAAAAACAAAGCTGTGAAGTTAGGCGGCTGTTCCTCTTTTCCTCCCCCACCCTCCAGACAAGTTGCACTGAAAGTTTAATGCCATTTATTCCATATCAGGCCATATATTTTTGTACCTTTTTGTTATGAAATAATTTCAAACTTACAGGGAAGTTGCAAGAACTCTCAAACCCAGATTAACTATTAAGGTATATTTTAAAATCATTATTTTCTGCTATGAGGTTTTATTCCTCTTCATCCTAGCCATTTGCTTATCCCTGATATGAAATAGTAATAGCCAGAAGTTCACTTAAAAATCGATTTCCATGTCTCTTGGATGTGGCTGATCTGGACACTGCTTGCTGGACATTTACTCTGGGATACACTATTGCGTTTGCCTTTCAGTATTCTAAACTACTGTCCCACAAAACATAAAACTATCTCAGACATCCCAACACATTCATGTCTAAATTATATCTTGTATATAGATACAGACTGCTGCTGACACACAGACAAAGCATAAACATTGTCAGATGAAAAGTGCTGATTTTTGCTTCAGAAAATATAGACACCATATGGCCACTGTTTCTTTCTCAGTAAATATCTGTTGAATGAAAGGATGGATGAAAAGCTGGTTACTGAATAAGAACTGGTAGTGGCCACAACAAAAGGAATTGAGTCTGGATAGCGGGTTTTATATTTTTTGCTATAGATGTTCAAAGTTAGATACCATAAGGGTATTTTTATCTAAATCCTCCAACTGATTTCCTTTCTTTCACAATGTGTTTGAAAAGCGTCAGTTCACTGTAAAGCATCAATAACTACATAGAAGAGAGGGCCGACCACTTTATCTCTCTGAACCTCAATGACTTATCAGTGAAACATGGAAATTGAGCAATTTCTGAGATATTTCCTGGCTCTGAAATTATTATGACTGCCTAAAATTAGAAAAGATGTAAACCTCCTTACAGCCACACCGTTCACAAAAGCAGCATATGTCGGCGGGAGCCTTAAGTCTGGCTGACCCCAAACGGTGCTGGCCACATTGGAACTGTAGATCTGAAAGAAAGGAATATCAATCAGTAAGACAGAGTGGAAACACGGCATGCCAAGTCACCGTTTTAAGAGCCATTCCTCATCGTGGAGGCATGACTTTAAGAGTCCTTATTTGAAAACTTCGTGCTAGATGGCAGCCTTCACCATTGGATTCCTTTCTTCCTTGTAGAAGAATACACAACTTTGTCCATGGAAGGGAGAGGAGATGCTGTTGCTCTATCCCAGACTGTGATCCACAGGTGCTCTAGTGGATGGAGTCTGAATTTACTCTTATTTATTCCTTGAGGGTAAATACTGGCGAAGGTGGACTAATTGTGGAGAGTGGGTATCACGTCTACGGCATAAGCACCCACTCTCTGCTCAGATTGCCGAACCAGCTTTTTTCCCAAGAGACTCTTAAAGTCTTTGCACGAATGAATGGTAGGTACTATTGGGGTAGATGTTATTGCTTCTAGGACTCTCAGGTAAAAAGTGCTTTATGTCATAATAACAATAAATTATGTGATATTGCTAGTGTTAAAACTAGTCTTAAGATTGGTCTTTAGATAGTAACTTAGTAAAAAATATGGATGAATATTAAAACTCAGATAAATAGAGCATAGAAAAGCATAAAGCCATATACAACAATGCTATACACACCAAGTAATATTTCTAAAATGAAGAGTAGAGTAGTAGTAGCACATGAGCACACATCTCTGGGCACGTTGGTGGGTATGACTCACGAGCGGGCATATGTGTACACTTGGTTTTACCTCTCAAGTAGACGCTGAACTTCTTACCTTACTATATTCACTGGCTTTGTGAAACACTTCTGTATTGGTTCCCAGGAAGCCGACACCCAGAGTATCCAGAATCATTCTTTTGCTTCTCTGAATGACGTGGTCTGTCAGGTGCTCCACTGTCAAGCCATGGATCACTCTGGCAAAGCTTTCTGTGACAGACTTTAAAGGGAAGAGTGTTAGAACAGTGCTGTACTCACTTTGCATTTGCCCATTCCTTGCTATACAAGAGCCTGAGGTACTATTATGTGAAGAGTTTCGCTTCACAAGGAGAAACTCAGGTGATCAACTTAAGTTCCGTTCCTGAAGACTGATGAGTACTGAGCCCCTGTACTGGGTGAGACAAAGAGATGTGGGAGTGCACAATATCCAGTTTCCGTCCTCAGTCCAGCTGAGAACACAGACTAACATGCAGATGATGGTCACAGAGTGGGTAGGCTATGGAGGAGGGAAGCACAGAGTTAGGAGAGGATGGGAGAGACATCTCATCCATAAAGTGGGCATGCCTGAGTGGGGGGCAGTGCATTCAGCTAGGAGCTGCCGTTATTAGATACATGCCAGGCATCGTCCTGCCTGTTGTAAATACAGTATCCATTTAATGCCACGAGTTTCTGGGTAGGTATTATGAGCGCCACTCGCTTTGCAGGTGTAGAGACCCAGATGTGGAAAGGTGACATCACTAAGTTCCACAGCTCTTAGGTGGTAGAGTTTGGACACAAATTTCTCTGGGTCTAACTCCAAAACTGAGCATGTAATTATTAAGCCACATTTCCTAAAGAGGAAAACAAACCTCGAAGCACCTGGGGTTCTTGTTGAAAATGAACATTCTAGTCCCTACGCCAGACCTCCAGAATTATCCTACCCCTTACCCCCAGATGAAACAGAAGCTTTGCAGGCATAACACAGGATTCTGTGTTTTCATTAAAATCTTTAGGTGATTCTTAAATGTTCTAGTGCTATTATGTCCAACGTGGTAGCTACTCTCCACATTGGCTATTGAGCATTTGAAATGTGGCTAGTCCAAACTGGGATGTGTCATGAGAGTAAAAAAAACACTGGATTTTGAAGACTTAGTAGGAAAAGAGGAATATAAAGCATCTCATTAATAATTTTAAAATATTACATGCTAAGATGATAATATTTAGGATATATTGGTAAATGAAATATATTTTTTTATTAAAATTTTTTTAAGGTTTATTCATTTTTCAGAGACAGAGAAAGCATGAGTGGGGGAGGGGCAGAGAGAGAGGGAGACACAGAATCTGAAGCGGTTTCCAGGCTCTGAGCTGTCAGCACAGAGCCCGACATGGGGCCCAAACTCACAGACGGTGAGATCATGACCTGAGCTGAAGTCGGATGCTCAACCGACTGAGAACGACTTCAGAACGACTTCCCCCCATTCATTCTTGTTGATGGAGATTACCTGAAGGCATGGATACCTGGGCTGGCTATGAACACTTAAGGGAGTCAGCAGGTGAAGGGGCCTGGGACAAGGGTGGAGGTTAAAGGCAGAGGTGCAGCATGGGCGGGGCTTGGAGACGTGAGAGGTTGCAGTGATTTGGGCCAACCCCAGCTTCAGAGCTTCATGCAGGGGCGGAGGTGAGAGGGATTCTCAGACTTGGACCAAGCTGGGGAGGTTCCACTATGCTGAAGACTTCCTGTCAAAGGGGCGCCATAGTGCTGTCTTTAAAAAGGTAGATGTGATCAGAACTGTGTTTTGCAAAGCTCTCTCGTGTAGTCTGTCATGTAGAGAATGGGTCGAGGGGTAGACAAGGGCAGGTAAGAGACTGCTGCAATAGCCCGGGTTCGGGATGGGGATATGGCAGTGCCATTTGCCAAGAGAGGGAGCACAGGAAGAGGAACAGCTGAACAATGATAATGGGCTCACTGTGAACTTGCTGAATATGAAGTGCCTGCTGAATATGGTCATCCTAGCGGAGAAGACCATTCTGCTTCCACCCACAAACCAGATAATAAAAACCCACAGACTTATTTGCATTTCATAAGCAGCAGAGTACTTTGCAATTCCTTTAAATATCAAGTTCTTCAATGTGTAGGCAATTATTTTGTGTTCTACACATCTGCATAGGAGAACATCTATTATGTATAGCTAAAAGCATCCACTCTTCAACTGTGTTTCCCTACATGCCTAGCGCTTAGTACTGCCTAGTAAATGCCAGGTGGTTTCCCTTTTCTGCTCTGAGTATTGTATCATTGTACAACCTCCTTGGTCTCTCTGAGCATTAGATATGTCAGTTTATTTATTTATTTGTTTGTTTATTTATTTATTTTAAAGTTTATTTATTTATATTGAGAGAGAGAGCAAGCAAGTGGGGAAGGAGCAGAGGGAGAGGGAGAATCCCAAGCAAGCTCTGCACTGTCAGCGCAGAGCCTGATACAGGCCTCGAACTCACAGACCCTGAGATCACGACCTGCTGAAACCAAGAGTCAGACACTCAACAGACTGAGCCACCCAGGTGCTCCCAGATACCTCATTTTAAAACATTAGCTATAGGGTAAGGAGTTTCTGAATTGGAAGAGCCGGGGTGTCTAAGAGTAGTGCCTGCACGGAGGTATAGAGATGGATCCAGTGCCCAGCTACAAGTCCTCAACCTGGCCACCAGCTAGTCCCATATTTTCAGTCTTCAGATGCTCGAGTCATGGAAACCCTGCCTTTTTCAAAAGGATGGACTACATTGTATGTCTCTGAAGCTCTGGTAGAAAGGTGAGGGAGTCTGGGGTGGGAGAGAGCAGGAGAGAACATGAATGGGAGAGAGAGGGTGCTGGCACAGGTGTTTCTAATTAGGATGGAGAATAACAATAACTTTGTCATGCTGCTAGAAATTTGGGTAAACATATTTAGGGGCAGAGGGAGGCAAGGAGGAAAAAGCCCTGGCTTGATGATCCACCAAGTAAAACTTGGAGTTTTGAGAACTGGTTGGACCCCTTTTCTAAGCAAAATGACCTTATTTTTCAATGTCTCTTTCCATTCCCACAGCTCCCACAGTTAAGGGCGTTTGGTGATTGGTTGTTTACCTCTTCAGGGTTAGATCTGACCTGGGAGTGCGTTATGGGGAAAGCTGTATGCCTAGGGAGGATTTGTTGTCGGGGCTCCAACATGGCACCTGGAAGGTGACTGTGGCATCCATTTGCATGTTCCCATGGTGCTGGTGACCTATGCAGGTAGGACCCCATGGCGATTCCCTGACAAGTTCTGAATAACACCCTGTGTACCAAAGAAATGGCTCCTGAGGAAGGGAGCATGAGAAAATAAACATGCAACTGCCCCACTGTCTGTAGTCCATCTATTTCTAAAATACTTCTTTTGGTCTTCCTGATTTTCTCATGACATTTACATTTCTTTTCAATAACATGCTGTGATTAATGTATATATTAAGACAAAACATGCAACCATTTGATAAATATTTCATGACATCTTACTCTGTGTCTGGCACTGTGCTAAGCTCTCTAGAATACTAAACCAAGATGTTACGGTTCCTGCCACAATAGGATTATCTTCTCCAGGAAACTAAGGACAGTAAACAGATCATTACAAAGGCAATCTGGCCATGCCATAATGGATATAGACAAGACTGGGAGGTTACAATTCAATGAACTTGCAATGATTCGTTTTCTTCCTAATTGTATGCAACAGAATCATGTCTCTTACTGGTAAAACACTGATGAAAAACAAGATGCAGTTAATTAAATAGCGCAGAGGCATGAGAAATGTTAAAATGCCATTTTTTGAAGAAGAAGCAGGAAGCTCTAAGGAAATTGAGAAAAGGAGAGGTAAGCTAGAAAACCGATTTAAATAAGCACATAAAATATAACAATACCTTGAGCATCGTGGTGTTGAAAGAGGAGGCTTATCTCAGGAGTGAACTGGAGGAGTAATTCACTTGCTAGGTGACTCCCTTTATACCCTTCATTCTTTCCAGCCCATTCTCTTTCACTTCATTCTGACGCTAAAGTTTCCATGATTTCAACACCTCCCAAGTACAATTACTTCCACTTCCTCTCAATGAGTTGTTTAACCCAACTGGAGATGAGGAATTAGACAAGGCTGGGAAGTAATGTACAAATGGTCAAATGATTTCTCATAGATATCAGGGAACTGAATGCATCTTGTGCTTAGATGCCATACATCAAAAGTAGAAAAATTTGCACTCTTTTATCCAGGTATTCTCACTTCTAAAAATTTATCCTAAGGAAATAGGCACGGATGTATAGAAAAAAACTTAGCAAAAAGAATTCACAGATTTGCTTATAAGATTAAAAATCAGAAACAATCAAATGTCCCCTGTGGATTGGTTAAATAGAATATGGCATGCATAGGGGCACCTGGGTGGCTGAGTCGGTCGAGAGACCGACTTCGGCTCAGGTCATGGCTCGTGGTTCGTGGGTTCAAGCCCTGCATCAAGCTTTGTGCTGACAGCTCCGAGCCTGGAGCCTGTTTTGGATTCTGTGTCTCCCTCTCTCTCTGCCCCTTCTCCGCCCACACTCTGTCTCTGTCTCTCTCTCTCAAAAATACATAAACATTTAAAAAATTAAGAACAAAAGAATATGACATGTACAGTGTTTAAGGCCACTCATCTTCCCCTTCCATTTCACCCCCGTCGGACACCATGGTCTAGGGACAGATGTGCCAGCCTGAGTTCCTGACAGCTTGAGATTAAGAGCCTAGAAGGGCGTTGGGAGTTAATCACACTTTTCCCCAGCTTGTTCACTTGTTTGCTCCTGCACTGCATTTTTGCATATACAGGTCTCCAATTCCTGGTTCTCTGCCTGGCTCCTGGCTTAGGATACACCTCCTGCTTCCCTGCTATTATTGCCCAAAGATGCTGGCCTGACAGCTTGTTCAGACCTCTTTGCTGATAATCAATCACTGTGGCTTGGCTAGGCTGGACCTCGCTCTGCTTCTCTGGGTAATTGTTATTTCCCTTGGGCTGTCTAGTCTTGGACAATTGGTTTATGCTCATAGTGGTACAGAAGACAGGTTAGTTAAAATCTGAGAAATTCCTAAGACCATTTTTACATGAAATGAAAAACGGGCTCTGATGACTTCAACCATCTCACCGTGGAAAAGCTTTATAAAGGAATGATGAGTTCTATCATATCTGATGAGCTTTCGCAGAAGTGCCGTCATTTAGCTTCTCTGGGCTCACATTTTGCCAGTATTTTTTTTTTAACTGAAGGATAGTTGA